GCAGGAGGGGGGGGGGGGTTCGGTTGGGGTGCAGGCAGCGGGGTTTGGGTTCGACAGCGGGGTAGGGTGCAGCGGGGATTCGAGGTTGCTGGTCGTCGGTGGCTGGGGTTAGCGGGTTGGTGGCTGTCGTGGAGAAACAGGCGTGGAGGTGAACGGGGTTAGGCAGCGGAGGTGGACGGCTATGGGTGTGGTGTCAGCTAGGGTTAGGATTAGGGTTAGGGAAGGTGGCGGCTTGGCTCTGATACCATATTGAAAATAGAGAGAAAAACCCTTACTTTATTACTCCATAAGATGGGCTTATATAGGCCCTTACTACACAACTTACAAATAACACCCTATCTATTACTAATATGTCAACAGACTCCATAAGCATGCTAATCAAGAAAGACTCAAAAATTTTACTAATTGCATCAACATGAGAAACCAAGAAGAATAAACTGCATATAGAGACTTTGAATCAAACAGATGTACCACCTATCAGCATAAGACAAAATACAAGAAACAAGAGGATCCTAAACAACCATCCCGTAATTCCATGATTCACAGAAATTGATACACCACGTCAGCATTAAAAATAGGAAGAAAACAAAAAGAGAACAAAGCAGTTGCAAGACAACAATTCTCAGTCCGTAGTTCAACCATCTCCATTGATTATATCAATAACACCAACGGATTTAACCTGAATTACCTGAACATAAATCCAGTTTCAAAAATTCAGGCTTACAGAACTTCAGTTGTAGAAGTTACTATGCAAGAAACAATGAGAAACATCATATGATTTCAAACTTTAAATACGCCAATAAATTAGAAGTATATCCATCAGGGATGTTACTGTTTCTGACACTCAAAAGGGCAAAACAAAGAGGGTAAGTGTTTCTGACCAGGATACCGTATTTACACAAAAAAGAGTACCTCAAGTGCACTAACATAGTTCCCTCATCTCCACGGAGCAGTTAACGTGGCAACGAACTGCTGTTCAGCGGATTTACTGACTTCTTCAGCTGCTTTGACACCCTTTTCCAGCTCTCCAATTTCAGTTTCACTCTTTTTAATCTCAAGAATTGTAGATTCTCTTTTCTCCTTAAGCTGCTTGAGCTTTTCATCTACTGAATATAGTAGCTGGTACATCTTTTCCTTCTCATCATGTACTTCTAGTTCTTTTGCTTTGAGGGAACGCTTTTTGCCCTCTGCCTGACTGAGCATACTACGTATCTCAATCAACTTTTCTAGGCGACTACGCACTGGTTGAACATTGAATCCGTTTAATTCCATTTCATCAAGAACTTTCAATTTCTCCTCGAAATCATCTGTAGAATCAACAATGAGCAACTTGCCTATGTCTGTCACTAAATTGGCAAAAGTTATCATTAAACCTATGGCAATTCCTTCGCGATGCAGCTTGGCGTGATGCAGCAATGGCTGGAAATGTGGCCGCTGGGGTAACATTCTAAAGACTTCCCTGGACTCGACTAAATTCCATACCTCAGATGATGTTTTGATGAATGGTAATACTGACCTAACTGATGATGACTCCATATGAGAGGAATCAATCAACGGTGTCCCACAATCCATAACAATGTCCTTACCAGATGACCTTTTGGAAGACTCTATTCGAGGAGTTAGAGGAGAAGCTTCCATCATGTTTGCTTCCTTGTTGGGCAAAGAAACAGTATCATTACCTGATGAGTTTTCCGCAAAAGAGGTAAGAGGACTATCCATTAGTTAACGCGAAAATTCTGAATGCCTTTATTAGTAAATAGTAAATACTCAGCAGAGAATATTTATTTAAAATCAGCATAGTGGTGACTGCTGTTTAATATATTAAGAGGAGGCATTTAATTGAATAGTTCAAATAAATCTGTTATATCTTCACCTCCCAAAGCTTGTCATGTTCCTTTTTCTAATTGTCTAGATGTCTTCCTATATTGTTTCTGGGACTAAATAGACCTATGTGTATCTAGACTCGCAACTAAAACACTTACCAATCATGGAAATGATTTTGTTGTTTGTAGATAAGCTTCCATTATGCTCCATCAGCTCCTCTTTGTGTTGTGAGAAATCCTTGTATAACAGCAGAAAAAGTTGGTATGAGAGAAAAGCTCAATCTAACATTAAATAAAAAAAGATATGAAACATTATAATCAAATAGACAAATGTTATACTGTGGTAATATCCAATATTTACTGATAAAAGAAGGCTGAGGATAATGACTTACAACATCATCAGGAATCTTCCTTTGTAGTTCTGGGGTCCGCACTATCGTCTTTGTATGTGTTTTGGTGTTTTCTCTCCTACAAGGATCACAGATATCATTTCCCATGTTGGCAGCCGGAACAAAATCAGAAACCTCAGGTCCAGTTGGTGGCGAACAGACCAAATTGGCCTCCACTGGTTGATGCTCAGTTCCCACCCGCAAGCAACCAGTGGATTCCTTCCTCATAATTATCGGTCCATCAGTTCCACCCATACAAGATGAACCTTTTTCATGGAAGAACTCTCTAGACAAAGGAATTGGGTGGTAGTTTGATGCCACTTTACCATCGGAAACAGTACTTTCATGAGTAACGAAAGTTGTGTCCTTTTCTACAGTCAGCCTTGAGGCAGTGGAACACTTTCCTACTTTAGCAGGGGTTTTCCAACCAGAATTCATCAATGTGTCATCTATTGGCTGCACGTTCTCTTCCAGAGAGTTTCGTTTATTTTGATTCTTGCTAGGTTCAAATGAATTGTCCTTGAAGCTGGGATCCCTGAACTTTTTATCCTTCAAATTCAAAAAACCAGATACGTCTGAACCTTCACCATCATTATTGCTTGAAGATGACAATGGAAGGGTACTTTCTTCATCAGCATCGGGTCTCTTTTCTCCGCTAACTGAGATGGTATCACCTACTAAATTCACATTCTCTTCTAGCAAGTCTCCTTTCCCCGCTTCCTTGCAAGCCTGAAACAATTCAGAATAATCTTCAAGATTGGGCACTGTGGAATCATTATCGTTCAAATCTGCAGCATCAGCTCCATAAATAATTCCATCATCAGTATTTCTAAACGCCGGCGCATGAATAGAAAATCTAACACTCTTTGACTTTTGGTTAGCTTGGGATGATGTAATTAGACCTTGACTTGTGCTCTCTGCCTCTTTACGTTTTGAACCTGATAAACTTGACCTGTCAGTAGCATCAGCATCATCTTCACCAGACGTCAAAGTTGAAATGGGATGATCAAAACTTTTTCCGGCTGTAAACTTCTGTTGGCGAATGGCTGATGTGGTTTTTGTGTGAGTCTGTTTTTTGCTATGTTGGCCCTGGAATATAATTATAATTTCAAAATAACTGCAAAAGCTAAATGAAATGTGAATAAAACAGTGCAGTTATCAACTACCAGTCAAGGTAGCTGCGCACTTAAAAATGTTGACAAATGACTAAAAGGAAAAATGCAGTTGCAACCTTCAAGTTCAAAGCAGATTTTGTGCTATTGGCACACCAAGTTAAAAGGTTAATGAATTGGTCTGTGTTTTCCTCTTAAAAGCGCCCATCCATGTGGTCTTTGGTCAAAAGTTTAACTATGTCAGCTTCCGTTAAGGAACACACACTAACCACACAAAGGAAAATGCAGCCCAGACCCTATAAAGTTTCAAAGAGCACATTTTATAAGCAACCAACCAGCTATATAGTAGACAATTTCTTCTCCGTCACAATTCAATCACTTACAGTGAAACGATAGAAGATATTTACTTATCATTGTTTACTGATGAATGATGAGTGGTCAATAAAATGTTAGTATGTCCCCCATCAACCACCTCATACTAATTTTCATGTAGTTTGTTGTCGTACTAGGAGCCCCATCCTAGCAGACAAAATATATTCAATAAGAACTGTTGGTTTTTTTGTTGGCCCAATAAGTTGGCCCGTTACTCTAAATGCCCAGCTCCCCCACTTGTGCCCTAGCCCCTCTATTTTCTTCACCTACCCAATGGTTCTCACCTCCTCCTAAGTCTTCGTGATCTGATGGCCGCCGCTTGCTCCCATCCGTAGGTCGGCTCCCTCCTTCGTTTTCTTCCCTAGCTCCTCTCCCGTGTCGGCTGCCCCCTTCCCTATATATGGGTAATGGGTTGGTAGTAGCTCGGGAGAGGGATGAAGAAGAAGAAGAGCCGGAGGTGAAGATCTGAGCTTGAGCTCTCCTCTGATTTGTGTGATCTCTCTCTTTCTGTGAGCTTTGTGCTCCTGTGAGCTTTGTGCCCTCAATCCCTTTGTGCGATCCCCTTTTGTGAGTGACGGTTGGAGGAGATCAGCGAGCTCTCCTTTTGGTCCTTGGTGGTGCACTAGAGAGGAGAACGAGGACTGGTTGAATAGGCTTCTGAGCCAAACGACGACAACGCAGAACCACAACAGTGGTATCAGAGCGAGGTTAGTGTCGCTGTGCTTCAAAACCGCCGCCGATCGCCGCTGGTCGCTGCCGCTGGACACCGCCGGACCGCCGCCGGACCACCGCGTGGGCGTGGGTAAGGTCGAAACTCTCTACAGTGGGTTTCGCTCAGGTATACTCTGGCCTTTGTTGAAAATTTCAGTATTTGCTCTTGACTTTGTTGAAAATTGCTGTAATTGTTGAAAATTATAGTAAATCTTCAAGATTATCTGTGTTAATTCGCTGCGTTTAACTGCTGAAATTTATCTGCTGAAAAAACTTTTTTTTAATCCCACTGCGGTTATCTGCTGAAGTTAACATTTGTATTTTATTGTGTGTTTTTTCTGTGTGAAAAAATGTCTGCTGCTAATCAATATAGTATGATTCAATATGGTATGGCTCCGTTCAACGGAAAATCTGATTTTAGCATTTGGAAACAAAAAATAAAATGCATCTTAATTCAACAGAAGTCCGTTAGGGCTGTTGGTCAGACTTATTTAACCTCTGACACTGAAAATAAACGGGCAGAAATGAACGAAAATGCTTGTTCCACAATTTATTTGAACTTATCTGACTCTGTGATTAGAAAAGTTAGAATTTTGGAATGTGCTAAAACCCTTTGGGATAAACTTGAAGAACTCTATACTGAAACCTCTTTGCCCAGTAAAATGTTTTTGCTTGAAAAAATTTTCAAATTTAGATTGGATATGTCTAAGGACATTGAGGAGAACCTAGATGTTTTCACAAAACTTATTTCAGATATTAAGTTAACTGGTGATAAACATATAGACGACTATACTCCTATTGTCCTTCTAAATGCTATTCCTGACTCATATAGTGATGTAAAATCTGCTATTAAATATGGTAGAGATGATATTACCCTTGACATTGTGGTTAATGGTCTTAAGAATAAGGAATTAGATTTAAAACATTCTGGGGGAAATAAAAATTCTGGTGAGGTTATGCATGTGAGGGGTAGGTCTCAGAATAGGTCTAATAACCAAAAGAATGCTAGTAATGGGGAATCAAGTAAGAAAAAATTTGAAAATGGAAGGGGTAGATCTAAGTCCATGTTTAAAGTTAAAAAATGCTATAATTATCATGAAACTGGTCACTTTATTAAAGATTGTCCTAAGCCTAAGAAAAATCAGCAAAATGAACATGCTAATATGGCTGTCTGTGAGGGCAAAATGTGTGAGATTTTCATGATTAATAATCTGTGTGATTATGCATATTTGAACTCTGTGTTATCTGATCCTTTGTGTAAATCAGATTGGTTGGTAGACTCTGGTTGTACTTTTCATATGACTCCTTTTAAAACCTTGTTTTCAAACTACAAGAAAATAGAGAATGGCTTTGTGTCAATGGCAAATGAAAAGAAATGCAATGTTTTAGGAACTGGTGATGTATGCCTTAGGTTTTCCTCTGGTTCTGTGTTTACTTTGAAGGATGTTAGGCATGTTCCTGATTTACGTTATAACTTGATTTCTTGTGCATCTCTAGAAAATGATGGTTTGGAGGGAAAATGGGGTAAAGGGGTTATGAAAATTCAAAAAGGGTCTCTTGTTGTTTTTACTGCTGAAAAACAAAATAATTTGTATATTTGTCATGCTGAACCTGTGCTTGATTCTGTTAACTCTGTGATAGGTGATAAATCTGTTTTATGGCATAATAGATTAGGTCACATGAGTAATAAAGGATTAGAAATTTTGCATAAAGGAGGTCACTTTGATAGTGATAAAATATCCCACGTTCCTTTCTGTGAATCTTGTGTGCTAGGAAAACAACATAGGGTTACTTTTCCTACTTCTTCTTTTCCTAATCAGTCTAAGTGCACTAGTGTACTTGAATATTTGCATGCTGATGTGTTTCACGGGCAAACCTCTTGATTTAAATAATTTGAGAATTTTCGGGAGTGCTGGCTATGTGCATCAAAAGATTGATAAGTTAGAACCTAGATCTAAGAAATGTGTTTTCTTAGGATATCCTGAAGGGGTAAAAGGTTATAGGCTTTGGAATAAGAGTGAACCGGGGTTTAAGGTAGTGGTAAGCAGAGACGTTGTCTTTAATGAAAATGAATTTCCTTATTTACCTTTACATGTTCATATTCCTGAAAATGATGCTCCAAATGAGGTGGAGCAAAAGCCTATTATTAATCAACCCAAATCATTTCCTGAAGAAAAATTGAATGATATAATTATTGAAAATCAAGATGAGATTATTCCAAATGAGGTGGAGCATGATATGCAGGAAATAGATAACATGCATGATTTGAATGATTATCAACTCACTAGGGATAGAAATAAAAGAACCATTAGGAAACCTGAAAGATATAGAGATTGCAATTTGATTGATTGTAATATGTCTGAGTTTGCCTTTAATGTGTTTGAATCCCTTGAGTGCAATGAACCTAAGACTTATAAAGAAGCATTAAGGTCAAAATATTCTGAAGAATGGATTAGTGCTATGAAGAGTGAGATGGAATCCCTAAAAATTAACCAAACATGGAAACTTGTTCCTAAACCTGCTAGTTGTTCTGTAGTGGACTGTAAGTGGCTGTTTAAGGTGAAACAAGAATCTGAAAGTGTTAGGTTTAAGGCTAGGTTAGTAGCTAAGGGATTTACTCAAAAGGAGGGAATTGATTATGCTGAAATTTTTGCTCCTGTTGTCAAATTCACTACTGTTAGAATTATGCTTGCTTTAGTTGCTCATTTTAATTGGGAATTAAAACAAATGGATGTAACTACTGCTTTCTTGCATGGTGATCTTGATAAAAATATTTATATGCACCAACCTGAGGGCTTTGTGGACCCTAAATTGCCTGATCATGTGTGTTTGTTAAAAAAGGCTTTGTATGGTTTAAAACAATCACCTAGGCAATGGAATATTAGATTTGATAAATGCATGCAATCTTTAAAGTTTAAAAGGAGTTCTGCTGATCATTGCCTGTATTATAAGAATATAGACTCTGTGCCTGTATTTCTTGTAATTTATGTGGATGACATGTTGATTGTTAGTCCTTGTTTGAAGTCTATTGAGCATGTTCAAAAATGTCTTTGTGAAAATTTTGACATGAAAGACTTAGGTGATGCTAAAAGAATCCTAGGCATGAATATTATTAGGGACAAAAACAAATCTACTCTAGTTTTAAACCAAAGTTCATATGTTGAAAAAATTTTGAGTAAATTTGCTATGTCTAATGCCAAATCTGTGAATGTGCCTCTTGCTTCTCATTTTGTGTTAAGTAAGGATCAATCTTCCAATACTGAAACTGAAATAAATGATATGAAGAATGTGCCATATTCCAATGCTATAGGATCTGTCATGTATCTCATGGTTAGTACTAGGCCTGACATTGCATATGCGGTTAGTTGCTTGAGTAGATATATGTCAAACCCTGGTATGCCTCATTGGAATGCCTTGAAGTGGCTTTTAAGATATTTGAAATCCTCTGTGGATGTAGGATTAACCTTTTCTAAGTGTTCTGAAGGTGTCAAACTTGCTGGCTATGTAGATTCCAATTATGCAAATGATAGGGATAATAGAAAATCTACCACTTCCTATGTGTTTACTTTGTGTGGCTCTTGCATAAGTTGGAAATCCCAATTACAACCCATTGTTGCTTTATCTACTACTGAATCTGAGTATGTTGCTACCACTGAAGCTTTTAAAGAAGCTATTTGGCTTAGGGGCCTTATATCTGAAATTGGTTTTCTTGATAAAAATGTGGTTGTATTTTCTGATAGTCAATCTGCTATTCAACTTTGCAAAAATCATGTTTTTCATGATAGAACTAAACATATTGATGTTAGATTTCATTACATTCGGGATATAGTTGAAAAGGGTATTGTCAAGTTAGAGAAAATTCCCTCAGAATTTAATCCTGCTGACATGGGTACT